GAGCTTCTTGACACGCTGGTGCGTGGCGGTGATGCCGGAGTGGCCCCCCACCGCGCTGTCGTGGAACGCGCTGATCAGCTTGGTGTGGAGCGCCGTGGTGCCGCCGATCCAGAGCCGGTCGCCGCGGCGAATCAATCCCTTGTGCAGCTCGAACCCCTCCTCGTCTGGACTGTGAATGGCGAGGCGGGAGAGCATCTCCTGCGTTGTGGCATCCGTCGCGTAAGAATTGGCGACCTCCTGCACCCAAGCTGGCTGGCAAAGGGAGAGCGCGCCCACGCTCAGTGCAGCGCCCACCCTAGACAGAGCGTCAGCTGCGCCGTTTTCTGCTCCTCTCCTGTACTGGAATGTGAACTGCAGCCCCACCAGTTTGGACATAGCCTTGCGTTGCAGATCCGTCTCCAGTTGCTGATCCCCCAAATTTGACAGGCTTTTGTGATCTGTGAGGATGGTGAAAGGCCCGCGCTGAAGGTAGGCACGCCACTTCTCCACTGCCATCATCACTGCAAGAAACTCTTTTTCGTATGCAGACAGTTTCTGGTTTCAAACACCCAGTGCCTTGCTGAAGTATGCCACTGGATGACCCTCCTGGACAAGCACCGCGCCGATGCCAGTGTCACACGCGTCGGTCTCGACGACGAACGGCTTATCAAAGTCAGGCAGAGCAAGACCCGGTGTGCTTGCCATGGCGCGCTTGAGCAGATCGAATGCCGTCTGCGCCTGTTCTGACCACGCGAAGCCCTTCTTCGTCAGTAAGTTTGTGAGCGGCTTGGCAATAATGCCATAGCGCTCTACGAACTTTCTGTAGTAGCCAGTTAGGCCGAGGAACCCGCGGAGCTCAGTGGCCGTCGTGGGCATAGGCCACTGCAGCATCGCCTGCGTCTTGTCGGCGTCCGTGGCCACTCCCTCCTTGAAGATGATGTGCTCCAAGTATTCGATGTTGTCCTGCGCGAATGAACACTTCGAGGCCTTGACGAACAACTCATGCTGACGAAGAAGCTCGAACACTTGCCGCAGATGCTCCACGTGCTCTTCTAAGGTGCCGCTGAAGACCAGGATGTCGTCGAGGAAGATGATGACGAACTTGCCCGCGTGCTTGCCGAAGATCGCGTTCATCAGACACTGGAAGGTTGCCGGTGCGTTCGTCAGGCCGAACGGCATCACTCGGAACTGAAAATGGCCGTGGTGTGTCTTAAACGCTGTCTTGTGCTCGTCCTCTTCTCGCATACGGATTTGGTGATAGCCGGCGCGGAGATCGAGTTTGGAGAAATATGCCGCGCCGGCCAGTTCATCGAGGAGCTCGTCGACGATCGGCAAGGGAAACCGATTCTTGATGGTGATGTCATTGAGTCGCCTGTAATCGATGCAGAAACGCCAGGTCCCGTCCTTCTTCTTGACGAGGAGGACTGGTGCTGCGAAGGGGCTCACGCTGTGGGTGATGACGCCGGACTGCAGCATTTCTTCGACTTGTCGTTCGATCTCGTTCTTTTGCAGCGGTGAGTATCGGTACGGGCGACCGTTCGCCGGTGGTGCGCCGTCCACCAGAGTGACTGCATGATCGTACTGCCGGTGTGGTGGCAGCTTCTTGGGTTCGCCAAACACGTTGGCAAAGTCGTCGAGGACCGCTTGCACTGCTGGGGGAGGGGGCTTGTCCTTGTCTCCGCTCGGTGCGCGCCAGTCCACGACCGCCATGTACCAGATATCGTTCCCGGCGTGCCACTTGGCGAACTGATCTGGCTCGATGTAGTCGATGTTGGTAGTGGTGCCCTTGGGACGAACACCTTGCAATGTCACAGTCTCGCCCTGATGCGCGAAGGAAATGGTCTTGTCCAGCCAGTGACAGTTCATGGGACTGTTTTGTTTGAGCCAGTCCATGCCCAGCACGCCGTCGTACGCCCCGAGCGCAAGCTGGTGCATGTCCGTGTTGAATGTGTGTCCTTGGCACCACCACTGGACAGCCGGAATCATGCTGTCACAAACCAGGCGCTCCCCATTGGCGACGCGCACCTCCACGGGCGGCAAGGGCGTGCTTGTGGCCTTGATCCGTTCCGCGAACGCCTGTGATATGAAGTTGTGTGTACTGCCCGAGTCCACAAGCAGCAACATCACCTGATTTCCCACCATGGCTCGAAGGCGGATCGTGCGCGGCGAGTCCCCGCCAGAGACCGCGTGGGTGGAGATGAGGCAACACTCCGGTGCGGGTTGCTCCGGTGCAGGTGCGTCCAACAGGTCGAGTGCGTGCACCGCATCGTCAGTGAGTACCTCGCCGTAGTCGCCCACTTGAATGGTGAGCAACTGCGTCTGCTGCTTGCAACGGTGCTCGCGGGAGTATCTGTCGCCGCACTTGAAACAGAGCCCGTTGGCGCGACGGAAGTCGAGGAGTTGGCGCTCGCGGGCGAACTCGTCGTTGGCCGGCCGAGCCGCTGCTGCCGCTGCTGGTGGCCGCGGGGGAATCATTATGGGCAAAGGCGGGGGCCGTCCGGCTGGAATCAGTCGAGGGCGCGGGCGGCGAACATCGATTTCTTCCTCCTAGATGTGGGCCAGTACCGAGGCACGCGTGATCCTGGTCGGAGCCTGAAGACGTACCGCGGCGCGTAGATCGTCCTGCAGTCCAGGAGGAACTGGGTGACGAAGAAGCGCGGGCTCAGCGAGGCGTCGAGGGCGAGTAGATGGTACGTGTGGGCTTCGAAAGCCGCTCGATACTCTGCCACCGTGCCGGTTTGCCGCAGATGCAGAAGCTGATTCATCTCCAGCTCGAACTCGTCCGCCCCAAATTCTTCGCGGATCGCTGCATAGAAGGCGTCCCATCCTAGTGCGTGATGAGCCTGACAGTACGCCTGAAGCCAGTGAGCTGCCTGTCCTTCGATGTACAGCGTCGCCGTGGTCACCCAGTTGTGTGGTGGAACGCAGTACAGCTCGAAGTAGGCAATGCATCGATCGATCCATAGGTACGGAGCGGAGCCGTCGAACCTTGGGAAATCATGCTTGGGCGGCTTGGTGAAATACTCCTCTTGCTGTGGCATCTCCGTGTCGTGGTGGCCCGTAGCGAAGTCGCCGTGGTGTGGGCCGTCCGCGCGCCCCCCGCCGTGTCGGAGTTGAAGCAGAGGAGGACCGTTGTTGACGAGGCGAGGTTGTGGCGCGTGTGGATCCGCCGGTGCCGCGGAGGAGCCGGTGAGTGGGCCGCCCCGGGGTGTACTTGGTGGTCGGCCGCGCGGCGAGGTCGCGGGTGGTGGTGCGGTGTCGCGCTGTTGACGCACTTCGTCGACGTCGGCCTGCGTCAGATCCACCTGTCGGCGCAGGTGAGCGAGGTCGACAGAGACCTGCTTGTTGAAGGCGATCTGCGCCTCCGCTTGCTTGTCGCCGGCGAGTTTGCTCTCGTCGAAGCAGGTGAGCAGGGACGAGAGCATGGATTTGAGCTCCTCCGACGATTCCGCCATGGCGATTAGGATATGCTTGGTCTGTGCCGAGGGTTTGGAAGATGGCGCCGTGCCTGCTCGATCGATCTAACCCCTCTTGGGATTTTGTGTCGATTTGCCGAAGCAATTCAACACCCAAGCGGTGGATGTTACAGATCAATTAGAGCGGAAACCAAATCGGCCGGGATCGGAAAAGGCTCTGATAACCAGTTGTGACGACCCGATGATGATCAGATCGCACGAGAGGGGAAAAGGGGATGAGATTCAGGGAAGGGAAAGTAGCTTTACTTGCAGGAGAGGAAAGTTCAGAATACAGGGGAGAGATGACAGAGTGATCACACAACACACGCATACCCCTCTCGCCCACGCAGGGGCTGGTAATATAGCTACTCTCGACTTGGCCCCACTGCTGATCTGGCCAGCGATGACTTGTCTCCCCCTTTCCTATTGGCTACTCAGGTCCACCATGGCACTTGCAGGTGCAGGTGTGACACCTGAAAAAAATGTGGAAAAATCAAGGTGAAAAATGTCTTGAATGGGTGTTTGGTGGATCTTATGGACAACTCGGAACAAACTTATTTTGAACGCGTCGGGTGATCTTCTTGCAGCATTGGCAGGTTCTGTGGACAAGGAAGCAGGAGATCTTGTTCTTCAACAATGTCGACGCTGCCTGCGGATACTGCGCTGCGCTGATCTCTTGGCCAGTTGAAGATCCTGGATTTTGTTGTTCTGCCCTTTGCTTTACTGTCTTTTTTTTTCTACTTTTGCTGGTGTGCGGTTCTAGCCCTGTGTGGCTGTGGGAGTTTGGTCTATTGCATTTTATCCTGATGTTATATTGTAAGCTGGCACATCCAGCAAAACCTGGTTACCATTTGGTTTAATGAGAAGCAGGCCATACTCATAGTCCTGCTACCTGAAAAAAGAGACCGCTGAGACAGTGATAGGCTCTTAGTGTATTTGTTAAGAATTGTGCACCTAGCTAACTGCAGATCTACTAACAAAGGCATTGGTCTAGTGAGGCTGCCATTGGCGAATGAGAAGGCTGTGGAATCGCAAGCAAACAGGGGACCGTCGGAGATGGTGTTCTTTGAGTTTTATTGAAGGAATCAAGAGGCTACCCGGAGTGACCAAGCACAGAAGATGGCAACAATATTGGTCTTGGAATTGTGTGATTTTGAAGGTTTGCATCAACCTACCCTCTCCTAGTCTGAAGTACGAACTAGTACATGTTTGTGATTTTACAGGCTTACAGGAGGTGGTAATACTAGTAGTTATGCTGTGCAGATTAGCTGCTTTGCTCTCAAATGGCATGCCATAGCTAGTTTTGCTTCCAAATTCCAAACTTAAGCTGCGAAAACTGCAAGCTTTATGACAATATGTCACGGTAATAATCAATGCATCTTTTCAGAATTGACAGTCACGATGAACAGTCTTGAAAGAAAGAAACAGTCCAGTCACAATGAACTGCTGTAACAAGAACCTCTGATGATTTGGTGCCGACATTATTCAATTTGATTGATATAATATTTTGATTGAGCACTGAGCCCTGCTGCATTGGATACAGTAATGCAAAGTCATAATTTTCTCTCATGCTGCTGAGAAAATCTGCATTATCTGAAGAATTCTGCAAGTTGTTACTTCCATTCCTTCCTTCCAGAGTACTACATCTGTCATCCAGCTTAATCAATTGTTGCATCCCCCATTCTCCATGCTGCTCTTCTCCAAATCCCTCAAGAACTCGGCGAATGCCACTTCAGAAGACCCGCCGTCGCCGACCGCGTCCGACGCCATCTTCCTCGCCGTCGCAAGCGTCTCCCTGAGCTTCCTCCCTTCCTCCGTCTCCATCGCCAGCCTCACCTTGGCCTCTATCTCCTCCGCCTTCACCATTCTCTTCTCGTACCCCTCCAACGGCACGGCGATCTTCATCTCCTCCACCATGAACACCTTGTTCAGCGCCTGCTCGGCGTACATCGGATAGCATATCATCGGCACCCCGGCCGTGACCGCCTCCAGCGTCGAGTTCCAGCCGCAGTGCGTCACGAAGGCGCCGGTGGCGGCGTGCCGCAGCACCTCCGCCTGCGGCGCCCACATCTTGAGCACCATCCCTCTGTCCCGTGTCCTCTCCATGAACCCCTCGGGGAGGAGCGCGTCCAGGTCTGGCTCCGAACGCGGCTGGAAGACGTCGGCCGGGTCCGCAGGTGGGCTCCGTACGACCCACAGGAAGCGATGGCCGGAGCTCTCCAGCCCATGAGCTATCTCCTTCAGCTGCGCCGCGGACACGGCGCCGATGCTGCCGAAGCAGAGGAACACGACGCTCTGCTCCGGCTGCGCGTCCAGCCACGCGAGGCACTCGTGCCGCGTCTCGCCGGACCCGCTCTTCTTGCCGTCGTTGGCCAATGGCCCGACGCAGAACACCCTCGGCGTCGGCCGTCCGGGCACGCAGACGCCGTCGGCGAGCGCCTTCAGGGCCGTGGGCTCCAGCCAGTCGAAGCTGTTGACCAGCACGCCCCTCCCCTCCGCGATGCGCTTGAACTGGTACATCCGGGTTTTGGTCATGTCCAGCTCCTTGTCCTGCACCGACAGCGGCATGTCCACCGCGCGCACCGAGCGCATGCCGGGGCTGTGCACGAGCGTGTCGCCCATGTCCTTGAACGACGGCAGGCCGGGGTAGAGGTACGGCATATTGAGGAAGATGGCGAAGTCGCTGGCGGCGGAGGCGAAGAAGAAGTAGGCGGGGAGGGCGAGCTCGGCGGCGACGTCGAGCGCGTCGACGCAGAACATGTCGAGCAGGATGGCGTCGGCGGGGGCCGGCAGCGCGCGCAGGAAGCCCCGGAGCACGGGATTGGAGAGGCGGAGCGTGTCGTGGGCGCGCTTGATGGGGTGCGCGGCGGGGTCCGGGCTGGCCGGGGCCGGGAGGAGCCGGAAGGCGATGGACGGGTTGGCCTCGGCGAGGCGCGCCACCGCGGCGGCCGAGGTGGGGTCGCCGTCCGGCGGGTCGACGACGGCGACGATGGCGCTGTGGCCGCGGCGGAGCAGGTGCTTGGCCAGCTCCACCATGGGGTTCAGGTGGCCCACGCCCAGCGACGGGTAGAGCACGAACGTCTTCTTCTTCTCGGCCGCCGCCGCCGCCGCCGGCGGAGCCATGGCCGAGATCGGGGGGGAAGGAGTCGGGGAGAGTGTGTGCGGAGGAGTGAAGGACACCACGCATAGTATTAGCAGAGGGGAATAAAAGTCGGTTTTTGGCAACTGGCGAGTGGAACAAAAGTAGGCCACGAGAGGTCATCACGTCCGTCTACCTCAGCCATCACCGGTGACGATAGCCTGGCACAGCAACCAAGTGGGAAATACGTGACGGATCGTGGTTTGCGCGCTGCCGCCCCTGGACTGGAGCATCTCCAACGTGCGTTTTTTCTCTTCTTGAGTATCTCCAATGTGCGTTTTTTTATCTTGAGTACCATCTCCAACGTGCGTTAGCTTGTCGATTAAAGTCTTTTACTTTATTTGAACCAATAACAAATTACTCCAGCCAATTTTGCGGACGTGATGACCCACAAAAATTCCGGCGAGTATGCGGCCTCGGACCAATTTTGCGGCCAGAACAGACCCCGCATACTTGCCCGGCCCGCAAAAACTTTTGCCACAGCCCGCAAACCGCCCCCCCTCCCCTGAGCGCTATAAGTGTGGTTCCGCGACCCTTTTACGGGTCCAAACCCTATCCCCTGCCGCCGCGAGCCACCCCATTCCCCTTTCTCCTCTCCCAATTTCTCGCTGCCGGCGACCCTCCGCCCCGCCTCCAGCCGCCATGTGGTGGCGAATGTGGAGCTCCGGACGCGGCTCCGGCAGCAGTTCCGGTCGGGAGAGGGACCCGGAGCGCGAGCGGCGCGTCCGGTCCGACGGCGGGAGGAAGCGCGGCGCGCAGAAGTGGACCAACCGCGGGCTTTCTCCGCCGGCTAGCTTCGACCGCCGCGAAACGGTGGAGTACGACCACCGGCGCGCGTCGTTCTCCTCAGCGCGTTCTTCGTACGCCGGATCCTCCTCCGCCGCCGCCACGGGCTTCCTCCCCGTGAAGAGGGAGTGGTCGGACGAGGAGGAGGAGCTTGAAGCCCTCGAGTGGCGGCAGGCGGTCGCCGACAATGTCGCCGCCAACGAGAAGGCGGAAGAGTGGCGCCGCATCCGCAAGGAGCAGTCGGAGAAGTACGTCGATCTCTGCAGCTCCGACGATGAGGATTGAGCGCCCGGCTTCTCTCCGGCGTCGTCCAGTTGCCGCGACCTCGCCGCCGTCAGATCCGACCCCCTAGTACTAGTTTAACGTAGTATGTAGTATAACTATGCTTGTAGTTTGTGATGAACTATTAGTATGACATAAACAATGTAGTATGTGATGAACTCTATTCATGCAATTTCTCCCGCGAAACAATTTTTTCAAATTATGCAGGTTTAGATACGGGTTCTGCTCGGCCGCGTAGGTTTTTGACCCGTAAAAACGATTTTCGTCAACCCGCAAACGCGTTTTGCGGGTCGTATTTTTGCGGGGTCTGCTAGAGTTGCTCTTACTCCCTTTGTACAGAAATATGGTGATCTAAATGCTCTTATTATTATTTTACGGAGGGAGTATTTATTTTTTTGCGGGGAAATAACACATCGTATTAGTGCTCTATAATACCACATCTTCAGTGGTCTAATAGTATTCTCTCCCATTTAAAAAAGAAAGTAAGATTATGTCGTCTGCTCTTTCTTCATCCAACCTTATGGTGGTTGTAGTTTTTTCTTTCTCTTTGATTTTTTTCCATCACATTTTCCTAAAAGATTTGGCATTGCCACACAAAATCAATTTTAATTGTTTTCACAATTTTTGGGCATTTTTACTGTTCATCCGAGCTAAGATACTCCGCCTCCCTCTCGTCTGTCTGCAGTATTTCATGGGTTATCTAGTTATTGGCCGTGTGTCACGCCTTATGTTTTTTTCTCGCTTCTTTGCGGGGATTTTTTTTGTCAATTTTTGTTGTCTAAATCCAAAGCTAGCTAGTTAATCCGTCTTTTTTATTTTTGCATTTTCTCAGTTATTGTACAAGCGGCCATCCCAGTTCATTCATCCTTTTCATTTTTGTATTTTTGTAGTTATGTTACTTCACAAAAGTATATTAAAACCACCCTTTTATTTATTTATTTTGTCTTGGCTGCCCCTTTATTTTGTGTTTCTTAGCATGCAGGAAATCCTCCACCAAAGTTGCAACTGCAAGCAATATAACCCCGACTGCAATGGCATGGCCCTCAAAAGGACTTAACTAGCGGTGGAAGAGAGGGTTTTTTTTTCAAAAGGGGGGGGGGATCCCCAGCCTCTGCATCAGCGTGATGCATACGGCCATCTTATTAACCAAACAAATAAGTTCCAACAAGGTCTCAAAGTCTCCAAAAGTGAAAAGATAAAAAAGGCTCACACAGAACCAAAAAGGCTAGAAACACCAACTAGCCCAAAGAAGGATGCTGTTGGAAATATGCCCTAGAGGCAATAATAAAATGGTTATTATTATATTTCCTTGTTCATGATAATTATCTATTGTTCATGCTATAATTGTATTAGCTGGAAACCGTAATACATGTGTGAATACATAGACCACAACATGTCCCTAGTGAGCCTCTAGTTGACTAGCTCGTTGATCAATAGATGGTTATGGTTTCCTGACCATGGACATTGGATGTCATTGGTAACGGGATCACATCATTAGGAGAATGATGTGATGGACAAGACTCAATCCTAAGCATAGCACAAGATCGTGTAGTTCGTTTGCTAAAGCTTTTCTAATGTCAAGTATCATTTCCTTAGACCATGAGATTGTGCAACTCCCGGATACCGTAGGAATGCTTTGGGTGTACCAAACGTCACAACGTAACTGGGTGGCTATAAAGGTGCACTACGGGTATCTCCGAAAGTGTCTGTTGGGTTGGCACGAATCAAGACTGGGATTTGTCACTCCGTGTGACGGAGAGGTATCTCTGGGCCCACTCGGTAACGCATCATCATAATGAGCTCAATGTGACTAAGTAGTTAGTCACGGGATCATGCATTACAGAACGAGTAAAGTGACTTGCCGGTAACGAGATTGAATGAGGTATTGGGATACTGACGATCGAATTTCGGGCAAGTAACATACCGATAGACAAAGGGAATTGCATATGGGATTGCTTGAATCCCTGACATCGTGGTTCATCCGATGAGATCATCGTGGAACATGTGGGAGCCAACATGGGTATCCAGATCCCGCTATTGGTTATTGGCCGGAGAACGTCTCGGTCATGTCTGCATGGTTCCCGAACCCGTAGGGTCTACACACTTAAGGTTCGGTGACGCTAGAGTTGTTATGGGAAATAGTATGTGGTGAACGAAGGTAGTTCGGAGTCCCGGATGTGATCCCGGACGTCATGAGGAGTTCCGGAATGGTCCGTCGGTGAAGATCGATATATTGAACGAAGGGTATTGGAGTCCGGAAGTGTTCCGGGGGTACCAGGCTATGGCCAGCATGACCGAAAGGTGTTTCGGGAGCCCCGGCAAGTGTTAGAGGGCCTCATGGGCCAAAGGGGAAGGGGCAAACCAGCCCACTAAGGGGTGGTGAGCCCCCCCACACCCTTTCCCACGTTATTTGGGGAGGTGGGGCGCCTCCACCTGGCTTGGGAGGCAATCCTCCACCTTCTTGGCTTTGGGGGGCAAGTCTCCCCAGTATTTTCCCTAGGGAGATCCAATCTGCTTGGCCGCCGCCCCCTAGGGGAAACCCTAGGGCACCTCCCCCTCTCCCCTTACCCCTATATATAGTGGAGGGGTGGGAGGGAAACTGCACCTCTTCCCTGGCGCAACCCTCCCTCCTCCTACACCTCCTCCTCCATAGTGCTTGGCGAAGCCCTGCTGGAGAACCACGAGCTCCATCGCCACCACGCCGTTGTGCTGCTGGAGTTTTCCCTCAACTTCTCCTCTCCCCTTGCTGGATCAAGAAGGAGGAGACGTCCCCGGGTTGTACGTCTGTTGAACACAGAGGCGTCGTCCGTTCGGCGCTTAGATCGGAATTGACCGTGATCTGAATCGCTGCGTGTACGACTCCACCAACCGCGTTCTTGTAACGCTTCCGCATCGCGATCTTCAAGGGTATGAAGATACACTCATCCTCTCCCTCTCTTGTTGCTAGAATCTCCATAGATTGATCTTGGTGATGCGTAGAAAATTTTGAATTATTGCTACGTTCCCCAACAGTGGCATCATGAGCTAGGTCTATTGCGTAGATTCTATGCACGAGTAGAACACAAGTAGTTGTGGGCGTTGGTTTGTTCAATATGCTTACCGTTACTAGTCTTATCTTGATTTGGCGGCATCTGGGATGAAGCGGCCCGGACCGACCTTACACGTACACTTACGTGAGACAGGTTCCACCGACTGACATGCACTTGTTGCATAAGGTGGCTAGCGGGTGACAGTCTCTCCCACTTTAGTCGGATTGGATTCGATGAAAAGGGTCCTTATGAAGGGTAAATAGCAATTGGCATATCACCGTTGTGGATTTTGCGTAGGTAAGAAACGTTCTTGCTAGAAACTCGTAGCAGCCACGTAAAACATGCAACAACAATTAGAGGACGTCTAACTTGTTTTTACAGGGTATGCTATTTGATGTGATATGGCCAAAAGAATGTGATGAATGATATGTGATGTATGAGATTGATCATGTTCTTGTAATAGGAATCATGACTTGCATGTCGATGAGTATGACAACCGGCAGGAGCCATAGGAGTTGTCTTAATTTATTGTATGACCTGCGTGTCAATCAGAACGCCATGTAATTACTTTACTTTATTGCTAACCGTTAGCCATAGTAGTAGAAGTAATAGTTGGCGAGACAAATTCATGAAGACACGATGATGGAGATGATGATGATGGAGATCATGGTGTCATGCCGGTGATGAAGGTGATCATGCCGCGCCTCGAAGATGGAGATCAAAGGCGCAAGATGATATTGGCCATATCATGTCACTCTATGTTTTGCATGTTCGAAGGAAAAGGTGTTTTTGTTTCCCACGTGGTTTGGCTCACCTGAGTCCACGAATAATGGTGTGTGATCCGATATACCGCGCAAGAGAGCCTGAATCGTTACAAGAGGGAACTT